CCCCAAAACCCCAAAACCCCAAAACCCCAAAACCCCTCTGGGATAGTTTTATTTAAAATTTTATTAAGAAATGAATTCAAGGCACAAGACAGATTCTGGAGCTACTTCACCAAGTTTCAGGAACCTCTATCACAAAGATTCCACTAATAAAAGGAAGAATAGATTAAATCCTGATATCCATATATCTGAAGGGACTGAATTTAGGAAGAAGACTAAACCTAAAGATCTTGAAAAGGAAGAAAAGAAGTATGAAACTCAAAGGAAAACTAATTTCAAGCTAAATCAGAAATTTAAAAGAAACCAGGCAAGAAATCTACAGCGAGAAAATGACTATCGGAAGTAGGCTAAGCATTGTGATCTTATAGACATATTGAAGAGCTCCAGAAAGACCTCAAAGTCAGACTTGGCTTTGAAGTAGGAGTCGCAGACGAGAATTTTCAGAAAATTAAAGGGCTTAAAGATCAACTTCATTCAAAAATTAATGAAGTTCATCAAAAAGTGTGGGATTTAAAACAAGAGCAAGAAGAAGATATTGCCAGAAAACTCAGCATTGACCAACGCAAAGTTGAGTTTGGAGATAATGACGGAGCAAAAGGAGTGTCTAAAGAAGGCCTTAAGGATCGTGAGAACCAACTCAACCAACATCTTGAGTATATCGCCAGTATAGCACAAAAGATCCAGGATGAGAATGTTTCATTAGTTAAGAAAAACTCTGAACTTAAAAAGCAGTATCAGCATCAAGAGAATGACAGGGAATTACTTCTGAAGCAATTAGTTATGCTTAAGAAGGAAAATTCTCAAATGAAACAAGAAATTAGTAATTTCTCCATAAACTCTAGATTATTATGGTAAAATCACAGAAGAGAAGAAAGCTGAAGAAGATGAGCAAATTGATCTCGAAAACTCTCCAGAAAAATCAATGTCTAAGAGTGATGCCAGGACCCTCCTTAGCTCGAGAGGGAAGCAAAGGAGGAAACTTCAGAAGGGCCAAAGAATGTATTTAACTACAAAGGCTTCTCAAGCGCCTAAAGCCAAAAGCCCAGATTGTTTTTCTTCAGTTTTAAATCCAGCCCCATTGGAGACAGAGGAAGATAAAATCCTGAGATATGAGAGAATAATTGAAAAACTTGAAAAAAATCTTGAATTCGAAGAAAGGAGTCTCAAAAATGTTCAGAATCAATGCAAAGCTGAGTTAAGGAAGAGTACTGAAATTGAAGATATGCTTGATGAATGAGTCCACCAAGTGAAAGTAGATATCCAGAAACGAAATCGAAATTCTAAAAAGAAACAAGTCAAGGTCCCCGAAAATAGTAAGAAATATAGTACAATTGATGACATTGATTTCACAGAAGACGATGGAGAAAGAGTCCTAGAATTACTTCTTTCTCAAGACAAAGCTCTTGAGCTTCTTTATGGTCAGAAAAGTAGTCCAAGCAAGGGATTGAGCACTGCAAAGCCCATCCCGATCATCAAGGAAGAAGTTTCAGGCTAAAATTAGCACTACCAAAAATGGAGTGATAAAGTCTTTAAGCTATTTTTGAATGCCAAATATTAATTTCAACTTGAGTCTAAAAATAGGGGTTTTGGGGTTTTGGGGTTTTGGGG